ACAGAACAACTGAGCGTGTTCATCACTTAACTATTCGTCCTGGGTGGGAATTGAACCCACGACCTCCGGCTTACCAGTCAGGGTCACTAACCACTAGACCAACAGGCCCCTCGATGACTAAACAACTTTTTTTTTTATGCAGTTCACAGATGCACTGTGTTTTTGAACGGTTATGTTAAGACTGGCTGCCATTACTGGCACCACGTGCTGGCCCTACAGCTGGAGAGGATTTTCTAAAGGTTTCTTCGCATTTCTTGACAGTAAATTTAAGACTTAATTTAGTGGTTAAGTAAATCAAACCGCATTATAATTCCCTATGAATGCGTTGTTGGCGCCTGTTCCTAGAAATAAACGACGCTGGGTATTGACAAACAAAAACCTAATAGGTATTTAATATCAATCATTTATTATAACATTCATAATAATATTTGCAATTCTGAGTACTCTGATGCAAGGTTCAATTCAAGATTTTTTATCTGAACACTCTTGGAAACTTAAGACTAAACAGTCCGTTAAGAAAAATTAATACCATAGCGAAGGTTTAGCTTTTTTATTCGTATCTAAAATCGTTCTAAGATGTATTCAATCAATGTTTTATAAGTATTTTTTACTATTCAATTAATATCCGGTTATCCAAACTGATACGGCCATTATTTATAACTGATCGCACGAGTGACCACTATCGAATGCAAAGGTCGATTCGATTAATCGTTGCATAACTCCATCGATCGACTGTAAGTGTGTAAGTCTGTGTTCCAATAACACTTGCGTCCTTGTAAATAATATTATGAATGTTAGAAATATTTTTTCCTGAAGGTTATTCATATTTATTAAAGACTATCTGCTGACCCGCAAAACTTTGTAAGGTCTCTCAAGAGAAAAAAAAATCCCTGTTTTTACAACATTGTTCATTGATGCTTCGCTTCTACCTATAACCTTCCTCGATAAATGGGCTATCCAACACTAAAGGAATTTTTCAATTCGAACCAGTAGTTCCTGAGATTAGCGAGATTCAACCCAACCAACAAGCAAAAAAACTGTTCAGGTAGTATTCTGGTAGTGGTAACAATACTTTACTGGGGAATACCTTTTATGATACTTGTAAGATCGAGAGTACATCGGAACTAATTCGTTTTGAATGATTTTTATTACGACAATGGACCTTTAGACCGTGTATTGTAAACGACACCACTGAACCACACCACTGGAGTGTCTGTTGTTTCACTTCATTGGCTATCTTTGAAGCAACTTCTGGTAACTTCATCTGGTCACTTCAAAATGGTCATGGTCGTGATCTTACGAAAAAAAAATGATGTTGATAAATGCATAAGATTTGTGTTAGAACTTAATTACGTTGGTGGCGCTATAAAAAAAAACCGAGTGTGCTTTAGACCACACGTCTGAAGTAAAACATCTTGGCTATGAGAAAAAGAAAATGTGTGCTCGCACCTCTCTCTCTCTCTCTCTCTCGCCTCTACAGTAATATACGAAACGTAACTCTTTCTATCTTCACTAACTTATATCTCGCTCTCAACTTCCGTTCGACAACGAACGGAAGTTGTGTAGTTTTTGAACATACGCAAGATCATACTTTTCGTAACGCTCTCGTCACGCATACACCAACTTACTCCCCAAGTCGTAAAGAAGTTTTACTTCAAAAAATGTAAACGTGTACAATACACGCTTCAGACTTGGCAAGTGCACCTAAAGTTTTATCCATAGATGCATTGAGGATTTCATGGTGATGAAAGTGGCAGAAAGCTGTTGGATACATTCAAGCAAATAATCGATCTATAAAGTCTTTGGAGTAGGCCTTTGTTACTTCAACTGAGATAATAATAATTATGATAAATCTGAAGGAAAACAAAAAAAAACGATCTAAGTGGCGTGCAATGGGAGAGGCCTATGTCCAGCAGTGGACTGCGATAGGCTGATGATGATGATGATGATGATGATGAAGGAAAACTTGAAACAAACCCTATACCAACCCGTCTGGCCAGCGGGGTATAGTAAGCCAAACCTTTTTTCTAAGGAGACGCGTATGTCCAGCAGTGGACTATTAAAAACTGTTCATGACGATAGTTGTTGATCTGACGGTCTGACCCACTTATTTTTACGTTAATGACTTATTTATTTGATTGTAGTATAATTAAATAATAATTATTAATTCACATTTTAATTAGGTTAATGTTATAATTCGCGCGCACGGTCAAGGATTACTAATATTGACTCAATTTTAGTATTTATTTAACGCTTTGTCATAGGCTTTAACTAACTAAACTAATAATATTAACTAAAGATACCAGACACATGTTCCTCTGATCCCAAACGAATTAGAGGAACTATATGTAAAATTTATTCGTGTGGTGACGGATTAAGAATACGGAGTGTCACCACCCCTATTCATCCCGTGGGTGACGTAAGCGTCTTGTATTGTTTACTCCCTTAATCGGGATAAAAGAGCAAACTACGCAAGACAACAGCACTACAAAGAGAAGGAAAATCTGACACAAACCCTATAACCTCACACACAACACAAAACCTCCTTTTTAAGGAGAGGTCTATGTCCAGCAGTGGAGTATTAAAGGCTGTTGATGTGATATATATTTTTTTAATTCTTTATGTTACAAGTGCACAAGTATGAGTTGTACGTTGTATTGCAAAATTAATGCCACAGGCATTTTCTCCCAGTCAACCTTAGGGTGCTGCTGAAATGTGTGACTAGGTGCACTAGACAATAATATGTAAACTAAAAAATAATAATTGAGAAGTTAGACAGAAACAGTGCGATAAATATATATATACATACATAAGTAACAAATACATACTATGTATGCATGTATGATAATGTGTATGTAAATGAATCATGTGAGCCCAGTGCCTAAACTGGAGGAAATAACTATAGATTTATCAGTCAATTTTAACTTATTTTCAATTGCCTTATCGGAATTAAACTTTAGTTAGTAGTAGTTTTAGTTTAGACTAGTCCAAAATTTAGTAACGAGATGATAAAATAACGGAAGGTGGAAAGTGAAACTGCATACAAATTGCACATAAACGCACCCAGAATATTTGTACTAAACGAAAACGAAAATAACAGACTATCTTTGGTTATGAGGATATTTCCATACAATGTGAAATATTATTTCACTGAAAACTAAAATAGTTCACGTAACAACTGAATCAAGATTGTATGTATTTCCATTTCCATGTTTAATGTCCGATACAAATTGGTTTTCATTCTAATTTCACGTCAGATTTCATACAAGAGAAACGTTTATGACTCGTGTTATGAATTTAAACATGGAGTTATTAATGTTAACTTTACATGAATGCATAGGACCATAATTTTTCTGTCTGTGTGGTGGATTAAGACTACGGAGTGTCACCACCTCTATTCGTCCCGTGGGTGTCGTAAGAGCCGACTAAGGGAGCAAACTACGCAGGACAACTGTATCAGCACTGTTAATAGAAGGAAAACTTATCACAAACCTTATACTACCCCGTCTGGAAAGCGTGGTATAGTAGACCAAAACCTCCTTTCTACGGAGAGGACTATGTCCGGCAGTGGACTGCTAAAGCCTGTTCTAACTAAACGTTTTAGATCGGACGGTGCAGGATAGTGTTCTAGGAATATAGTTTTACATTCAGGCAGCACGTCTGTTTACTACTAATATTTTAACTATATAATTGTTTAAATATATACCCCTTGTCGCAATGACAAAATACAAAGCAGCACGAAGCTAACCTTGATTTCTAAAGTATACTAAGATTTACTGGTGTTCAGCAGTGAGGGCAGAGGTTCTTATGAACTTCCTTTTTTAAGTTAGTTACCAAAAATAATGTAGAGGGGAGAATACGTTCAATGGCTTTCTATTTTTTTTTTTATATTATTGACCATACTTAAAATACTTATGGTTTCTTTTCACGAGTTAATATGTAGTGTACTTCGGGGAGTTCCCTAGAGCAAAGTGTGGGTACCTAACTGCAGACAGATCACAACTAGTGACCTCGGGAACTCCCCGCAAAGGAAGTGGTAGCCGATTGAAAAAGGTCGTATTAACTCCTGGAGCAATCGCCAATGAAAATGTTGAACGAAAAACTCGCAACGTTTAGATTAACTATAATATGTGCTGAAGTGTTACAATGTTTCCTTCTCAAGTTGTTGATATAACTGTCTTATTCTTATTTGGTTGATAACGATAAATCACTAAACAAAACGCATAGTGTTTTAAATTAGAAGCGTAGACTTGTTGTTATCTAATATCCGTTCATTCAAACTTTGCGAAAGATTTATTACTATAGAAGCAAATAATTCTCTACGGTGTCTAAACCAGTTTTTAAGCAAGGTCACGGTCAATTCTATTACGAAACATTTAGGATTGTGAGCTTTTAAATTAATTAATCCTGAGTTGCTGTTGAAGATAAAACTACTTAAAGAACAATGGAGTATATTGTGAGGGCTTCTGCCTACCTTAGAATAACCCAGGACGACGATTTCAAGAGGTCTTCTGTTTGGCCACTAGCCTATAAAATATCGATTGTTTATGGAAAGAGATTTAAAGATGGTATTTAAACCTCACGCAAATGTTCCGTTTGTAAGTAAAACCTTATATAATTATGATTGATTATAAAAAATTCTCCATGGCAGTGACCCAACACGTTCAAATAAGAATAAATGTGATAAGATAAGAATCCTGTCAGAGGGTTTGCGAACATTGCAGTGCGAATAAAAATATTTTGGATGTGTAATAAATGTGAACTGACTGCTTTTAACGAAGTTGAGGAAATATTAAGTTTTAACCTTTTATGATTATAATAGAGGCAGAGATCATCGACAATTATCATTGATTATAGAGTTTAAAGAGTGAAACTTCACAATAACTTAATAGAAATTACTGACTTTTGCTGAATCGTCTTTAATTTAACAAGTTTTATACTAATCTTATACTCTAGGTTAGTCAAAATTTCTAGTATAGAGGATTTATCAAGTCACTTACCTAAGGACATAAGCGTCGACTAGCTCGCTCTGGGTGAAAGAGATGATCTCACAACGTACTATCTTCAGCACATTCTCCCATTGTTGGCTACAACAATAATAAATTTGATTTAGATATAGCTACTTATGGCAATTTACCTGCATACCTGTAGTAGCATAAGGAAGAGATGCCTGATCTTTATGTGATTAGGAGCATCCCAGACCCTTCGCGGGTGACCCTTCTATAACATAAAAGAAACTCCTATTTTTAGCATATTTCTCCAGTTATTGGTATACATTTCACTTAACACATAAATAATAAAATCTATTACTTGTGTAGGTCTTGTAATGATTAATTAAAAATAGCGAGGCAAAACCTTGCGATTCAAAAGGCGCCATCTTTATTTCAAGTTGGAATTATTTTATCGCATTTGGGTTTTTGGCGCCCTTTTTCACCCATAGGCCAGCGCTTTAAATTATGGTATTCTGATAACTAAGCAGCATAACATTAGCCCTGAATTAAAACAAATTACAAGAATGAGGGATCTTCATTCTAAAACTCTTCTTTTTTTATGCTGGCGATAAAATTATATTTATCGCAAGTCCATTGCAAAACAATTTTGTATTGTTATGTAAGTTTAATATTCAATAAAATAAAAAATAAATGTTTCTAGATGACACAAAACTTATAAAAAAAAATTTATAAGTTTGTAAAATATTTTCCACTGTTTTATATGTTCAAGATAAAACAGGTTATCATGTATTTGAGTGAACAGTCATATATTCAAAATGTAGGTATACTCGTAGCACACTCAAAGAATAGCCTTATTAAAAGCACCAAGTACTACCTTTTTTTAGTAATTTAATGGAATAATATATTTAATCAAGGAGAACAGGATTACAATTTGAAATCACGCGCGATTTACATGACCCAGCCAAAACCAGGGACCAACCACAAGCGACACCCAACTCACCGACACCCAATAACCATTGGAATATAAAACAGCTGATTCCAGAACTTTCCATAACAATAAACATTTAAAATAAATTGTATTAACACATATTAGAAATAAATAATAACTTCAAATATCAACAATTAACCGATTACAATGGAAAATATTCTAATATGTATGAAATATCCTTTAGGTTATGGAAATCTAGTATTGTGCCGGTAACCCTTGAATAAAGAATATAATTATGTAACAATTTAATAAATCACACAAGAAAGTTAACAGACTAAGACAGAAAATTACTCACCGAGTGATTTTTCTCAAATCTGCATTTTTTGCCGGTGTAAACCAAATCTCAATGAGCTTTTCGACTCCTTCGAAAAATTGCTCATTATTCTCACTACTAGATATTATTTCCGTTTCAGCCATTTCTATTCTTATTTATACAGATTTAAAGAAATACAAGTGCTTAAATTAAATTTAAATTTCACTGAAACTTGGCACACAAACGCAACGATTAGAGGTCCGAAGTTGACTGACGGAGTGAAACAAAATTATTGGCAAAATACTGGTGAAAGAAGAGAAGGATGTACCAACATCTCTTTCTTTCAGAGCGAGCGAGTCGGCGCGCGTTGCGTTCGGAAGCACGGACCAAGAATAAAATACTGTCAACTGTCTGCTTTTATATAAAACTACTTGTATTGCCAATGTTTATTTTATGTTGTATTTATAGGAAACTTCATTGACAAGTTAAGCTCTTTAAATTAAGACCACGCACTAAGTATATACTTGCAGATTTAGTAAGTAATACTTAGTACAAATATTGATATATCCTAAACCTTTTCTCTTATGAATATTATTTTAAATGATATTCAATTACAACGTACCCACCTGTAAATTATTATGCGACAGTAATATTCATTTTTTTTAGGTATTAATAATTTTCTCGACATACATATATGCATAAATATATTAATGGCGGTAATATTTGAGCGTCGGTAATCCTCATACAATGAAGTCAAGCGTTATATTGTGTTATTTCAAAAATCTATTACATACGAAGTATTTTTAATCCAAAATTGAAGCTTCCTAGTTTTTTCAAGGATCGTTGAGAACGGTAAGACAAAATGTTCCCTCGGACAAGCTGTTTCCAGAAAGCTGACCCAGGTAGACAGGTATTTCTACGTATTTACTCTTTGTCGGAAGTATAAAGACGCAAAAAATCTTCAAGAAAAAAGATAAGTTAATGTGAATAGTTAAGTTCACCTGTCCATGTCCATGTCCATGCCCAAGCAAAGTTGGAACAGAAAGTAAAACATAAATCAGGTTCAAAAGTCGCTCAGTCATTTTTTTTAAATAATCCCGAAAGACGGAAGTAACTCACATTACTGATAACCTGAGAGTACTAAAGTATGAAAAATAACCGGCTAAGTGCGAGTCGGACTCGCGCACGAAGGGTTCCGTACCTTTATATATAAAAACGGCAAAATAATCACATTTGTTGTATATTTGTTTAATTTAATTATTTATTTTTAAAGTGAATATATAACTAAATATTCTGTGAATGTTTCAAGCGTCTACCGTTTGTTGTATGGGAGCCCCCCTTAAATATTTTTTTCTGATTTTAGTATTTGTTGTTATAGCAGCAACAGAAATATATCATCTGTGAAGATTTCAACTGTATAACTATCACGGTTCATGAGATACAGCCTGGTGACAGACGGACAGACAGACAGACAGACAGACGGACGGACAGCGGAGTCTTAGAAATAGCGTTCCGTTTTACTCTTTGGGTATGGAACCCTAAAAAGACGGAGCCTTAGGTACGGTACTCAGTCAAATTGGATGTGTATCATCAGATATCTCACCTACTATGACAGCCAATTCTAGCACTGCACACTCCTATTAATTCAATACAATAGTTCTGTCCATTTTCACCAAGAGGAAAGATGTTACAGTTCAAAAAGGTTACATTTAAGTTATGAATGGGGTAAAGTTAAATTTCTTATTTGGCAACATTTATTTAGTAGGTACTCTAATCATAATGATATTGATTTATAGGTTGAGGGTTATCAAAAATAAATTTTGTTCCACATTTGATAGTGAACAAGCATCAATAAACTGTTTGATAATAAAACAAGGAATTTTAAAATAAGAATTCATTACATTTAAAAACATATTAAATAAAAAAAAAATTCACAATATCTACATAACAAGAAATAAATAATTTGTCATAAATTTTCAAATGCTGCAACAAGTTTGTGTAATCGGCCATCTTCTGTTCTTTTTATTGGTTTAAATTTAGGTTTCAAAACTGGGATACTTGGTGGAGAGTCTATTTCCTTCTCATCTTCATAGAAATCTTCAATATTGGGCTCTACATCTTTTTTATTAGATGTAGTACTGCTAGAGGGCCGTCTGTCTTTCTTACTTTTAAATTCTTCTACGCTAGCATTCAATTCTATGAGGTTTTTATACATTTTATCATTAAAATGGAAGTTTAGTTTCTTAGTCACCTGAAAAAAAAACATTTAATAATTTAATGTTTGTGAAAAAAAATGAACATTTAATGTTTTCTTTTTTTTTTCAAATATTACAAATGAAAACTTTTTAAATTTTGTTAAATAACATGTAAAGAAGAATTGAATTTGAAGTTTTAAATGCTTGTCGTATTTTATTGACCAGTATATCTGAACTGTTCTTGTATAGAATTTTGTACCACAGCAGGTCAATTTATATTGGACCCCAATAGCTTTAGGTAATTTTTTCTACTGCACAGTTTAAAAAATTTTGCTGCTGCTATCTAATCAATATAGAGAAGATAACTTGGCTAAGTAAAATAAATTTATATTTCTTACTTTTGCAGATACTTGACCCTGATCAACATTTAAATCTTCAGAGAAAAGTTGTGGTGGAACTTCTAAATAATTAGCTAGAGCTCCACTAGAACATAAAGATGGTTGACTTAAATTTTCCTTTTCTGATAAATTAGATTTTACTGTTGAATTTGAAGAACAAGCTATATCATGAACGACTTGCTTCCGCATCGACGGTTTCACTTTCAATTCATAATTTCGTAAAAGCGTTTTCTTTACTTTCGAATTAGATGAGGATTTATTTTTATTCATATTAAATTTTATTAGAAATGTTTATATGAACAACTCTACCTTTACAGGTATTTGTTTACATCAAAATTCAAAACTGCCTGAGGCTACCACCGTTACATTGACAAGTTTTGACAGTTACAGACAGGGCTGCCAGTATCCGCTGGACATGCTCTGCTGTTTCGACTGACAGAAGACTGATAGCATTTGCAAATAAATTGTTGGTTTGGATAATTTTATACGTGCTATCTTATTTTGATAATGGAGTTTTATCCCTATTATTGAAATAGCACTAGTATAAAAGATGAATCCCCTTTTTGTTCAAGTTGGATAATTTTAAATTTCATCAGTCACGTCATGTCTGTTACATCAAACATAATTAATAAATTTAAATCTTAAATTAATGTCTGGTTCATTACATTAAATGTTTTCGCAGTGAAGACTAAAGTTAATAAATTTATTCATTAAATTCTTTCAGTACGAATTTCTCATTAATGAACGACTGCTAAACTGCCATAATCACCTGTATCAATGACTCAATGTCAGTCAAATACTTCAGAAAGTGAATTCGTCAACGATTTCTATTAATTTGGCCATATCTGCAGTATTTTAAATACGACATTAGTTTTAACAAAATAAATATAATAATTTGGAAGTATTAAACGTTGATAGTCTAAGAATCCATCTAAGAATACGTCTACGGAGAAATGTCAAATGTTGAATTTATTGTGAGTACTTTGATACTTACTCAGTAACACGTATGTGGCGACGTGAATTCTTTTATTAAAATGTTTTTGCAGAATCCAGAGAATTTACCCGTGGAGAAGTTAACTTTGTTAGTGAAGAATGCCGGCGTTGTTCGAGAAGTCAAAGCATTGGTAAGTAATGATTTAAATAACATTGTGCAACACTACCCTTCTAGGAAGTCTTTGAGGGAATAACCTGATTTTTTGTTATCTGTAGTCTATTCTACTCTCTATTCTGTAGTTCCCCAGTTTAGTTATACTTCCACTTGACGTCATTAATTTTTCAATGATTTTTCAATGTTATTTAAATTATACCACATGCTTACAGGAAACCCTTGTTAAGCATTTCTTTCATTGCTCATTCACTTAAAATCACCAGCCCAAGCCGGGGCCGTTTGGGCCAGTGGTTCCAGTAGTTCCAGTTCAGGTACCTGGTACCTGATTCTAAGTATTCTGGTAGGGCATCACTCAAAGGGTTGCAATACTCTTGACTCTTCAGTTGCATGTATCCATGAGTGGTGCTATTCACTATCAGGTGACCTGTCTATTCTGCTCTGGCCTAGTGTAATTCACTTCTATTCAATCGTTACGACGAGGGCTTATCGCAACACCATACGGAGGTCACTGTGTGACGATTGAATAGATGTGACATAAACTCGCACTAGAACCTCTGTATATTAAAATATGTGAGGAAAATTTGGTGTTTTACAAAGAAATATGGCATATTTGGTATACTTAACATTTAAATCTATAGATTATTTAACTGGACTACCAAGAAATGTCTTTATTTATAGATATTGTTATAATGAAAATGTCCCCGACGAATAACACTTAACTACTTAACACAGAGTGCAATATATTGAATTGGAATTTGTATCCTCTCCTATTAAAGTTCATTTATCTTTTCAAATTATCAAACATTTTTTTCTTCCTTTTTGCTTTGGCCTTTTGTGTGACGATTAGCTTTTTACTCCATGAGTTGAATGACTCAGAAGCTCTATAATATTTTAGTTTTTGTGTAATCTATTGTGATCAAGCCTACTTTAAATGAATAATGTAAAAGAAAATGGGGAATACCCATTCATTTTATTTATTTATTTATACTTCCTGCAAATACATTGCATAAGGAGGACTTAATGCCATGCCAATCCATCCTTGCCATGCCATCATTTTGTGTACAGTAACAATGTGTTCTGTGATCTATGGATGGTAAACCCCATCTGAATGTTTCAATCTATTTGGATACACATGAAGATAATTAAGTGGAGCACACTATACAAGTAGATATACACATGTATGATTAAATTTTAAAAGTAAAGTAGACAAATACTTCAATTAGGTTGAAAAAGAAAAATGCTTCTACTGGTTCACATTTTTAACTAATGTATTATTAAGTTTCAGATAAATTTAATGTTTTAATTTTTTAATGCAAACATACTTCGAAAAATCTGGCAAATGCTCCATATCCTTGGTGCTGCAGTTTATTTAAAGCCTTATTTTCATTCATGTCAGCAATCTCTGATTCGAAATAGCTTTATTGTGCAATTTCTAAATTGAATGGGCCGGCTGGACCCTAGTGATACCACGGCCTCATAGAAAACCGGTGTTAAGCAGAGTGAGGTTACCCAAGCCCAATTGGCGGCGGTAGTTGCTCACCATCAGGTGGTCCTTCTACTCGTTTGCCCCCTTATACCATAAAAAAAAAACGAATTTTATTGTTATTTCGGAGTTCTTGTACAAAACTTTAAAATATGACCATACCCTTTCGTAACACTCTGTATACATTATTATTTATTTGTTGGGTACAAATGTTTACAGTTAAATTGTGTCTAAATTCATCTCATCCGAAAGAACCGGTTCTGTGCTGCTGTCCGAGGTCTTCCCGCGACCATTGTCAGGTCGTCAAACCAACGTCAACTTTGTGCGGGGTCTACCCACGCTGCGTCCTCCGGTACGCAGTCCTGGCCACTCTGGCTGGCAGAAACCCAGATTTGCAATATTACACAATGTATCACCCCTAAATAAAATTGAAAGAACCCTGGAGAGATGATGGTTTTCTTGTTTGTTTACTTGACAAAAAAGGTCGAGAATTCAACTGCAAACTGCACGTAAATACTAATTAGTCATTTTGATCACAACATTATCTTATATCAGTAATATTGTTTTCCAGGACCCTTACTGGGTGGAGAAACGTGAGATGACACTTTATGAGAGGCCACCTTCAGGCAGCAGGATAGTGCTGGGTGCCATAGACGCGTGGAAGGTCAGGATGGAGGGTTACATAGAAGATATGAAGTGGTTGCTAGGCTTAGAACATTATAGGTAGGAGTCTTTTTTTTTTAAATAATTCTAAGTAATTCCATGATAACCAAGTATATACATACAATTATATACTGCTATATTGCTACTGCTGCTAAGTGGTCGGTAACTCTGTTTTGGCATATATAATGTAAAGAAGAAAGAAAGTATATATATTTTCAACAGACCCACACCCTTTCTGGTGGGTTTTGGCTGCCATAACGTTCTCCCCTCTATAATTCCAGGTGTTTGGTCGAAGACTAGTCATGCATTAGAACTAGAATACACATCATCAGCTTTAACTACTGTCCTGATCTTATTGTACAAAATTGTAGTAGAGACTGCATATTCATTTGGCAATTGAGGAGTGATACCATAGCCTCACAGAAAACTATTATAATAATAATATTTCCATACATCTCTCACACAGCCACTCCCAAACTAGGCAGAGCCTGTACTATGATTACCAGACTTCTGATAAACACTTATTTCTAAATACATAAATAAAGTACACCCAGACACAGAACAAATTATTGTGCTCATTATACAATTATTTGTCCTGGATGGGAACCCATTACCTCTGGTGTATAAGGGTCACTAACAACTAGACCATTGGGCCAGGTTCTGTTTAAGAGTTGAGGGACTGCTAGGGCGACGAGCCACTTGTGACTCTTGAGTTGTCATATGCGGCGGTAGTCACTTACCATCAGGTGACCTGTTTACCCGTTCACCCCCTCCCCAATATAAAAAAAAAACCAATACAAACAAATCAGCATTATTTTTATTTCAGGTTTTGGAGCACAATAATACACCATCCAAGCTGTATGGATGCGCTGGTATCGTTCCTACAGGAAGCGACCCCACCTTACCTTCCACCACATGAGTCCAGAGATGTGCAGAGGCTGTACGAGGAGATCAGGAGGATGGTACTGATAGTATTTAGTAGACTCGTAACTAATAAGGAGAGTAAGGTAAATATAAAAAACTTATTTAAAGTTGACGAATCTGTTTTTTTTATGGTCCTGACGTCGTGGGTTCGATTCCCACCCATGACAAAAAATCGAACACCGGATATAATTTATCTATAACTAGCTGGTGCCCGCGACTTGAACTCGCGTGGAATTTGAAAAGCGCTGCTTTGGTGGGTTCGATTACCGGACCGGGCACAATTTTATAGGGTTTTTCTGAGAGAGAAAAATAGCCTACGTTACTCCTTATATAGACAGCTTCTTGGTAGTAAAATATTATCAAAATCGGCCCACCCGTTTTGAAGATTACCCGGCACAAACAGACAGACAGACAAAAAATATTTCAACTGGTTTTAAGGCATAGGTATCGTGCAAGCATGAAAAAAACCTACTATTAAGAGATTACAAACAGACACTTCAATTTAATTTATTTGTATAATAATAGATATAAGTATAATAGATATGTATTTAGAAATAGCTCTGATTAGCTTAGAATCAGACGGCCGTGTGTGAGATGTGTAATATTATTTAGAGGTTATTATTACTTAATCAGTAATCTGGTTTTGAATTATAATTATACGTAAATTCACGATTTTTTTCCTTCGGATTAGGCAGGCTCAAAAGCCAGTCACTTACTTCTAGCCTTACATAGCTTGAAGCGGTTTAATTTGTAATTGTACTTCACGGATGACGTAATGGGTTAAGCGGTCGCCTTGTCGCTTCATAGTGTTGTGGGTTCGATCCCCACTCGGGTCAACACTTTGTGTCATCCACAAATCGTTGTTCTGAGTCTGGGTGTTATTCGACACAGGATATTTTTCTCGGAGTTGTCTTTTATTAAAAGAATTAGCATTAAATACCTATGTTTAAGATCCCTAGAAACTGTAAGAAAACAATTTTCTAAGCAAACCTAACCCTTACTTAAACTAATTTTTAAACTTCGTGGATTCAATACCTTTAGAAAATAATTATATGACCCCATTTCCTTGTTACAGGCACATTGGATGAGCAAAGAATACATGGCAGACTTACTATATAATAAATTCATTTTCACAGTCCCTATTATATGGGACTTATGTTTAACATACGGAGTAGACAATGGGAGGCACGTGAGCCGTGTGCTGGACTGTGTGTTTGCGCTGCAACCGCAGTACGAACGTGACGTCACAGCAGCACTCGCGTTTGTCAAAGAGGTAAATGTGTAGTGAATGTATCTATCACCTACAGTCACAAACTCCCGTTTACTGTACACACATACAAACGCAACTTTGTGCAAGCAAATACTCAACACACACAAGCAAATACGTATACCTGATTAGATTTTACTTTTTACACTCATAGTTAATTTAAAAAGAGAAAAAATCAATCATGTTCACACGCAAACACACACGCACGTCGCACCCATACACTCAAATACACATATACAAATAAATACATATATATATTTATGGGTATTCCTTTATACATCTAAAGCTATAAATAAAATAGAAAATAAAATAAACTTTATTTGCAGAATGAGGTCTTGGTTACATTTTGTAATAATTTTTTTATGTTAGAGGGGCCAGAAGAGCAGACTGGTCACCTGATGGAAAGTGACCATTGTATATGATTTACATGTTATTGTCATAAGATGCATTAGATAGTTAATTAAAACATATGATGGAAAACATTATATTGTCTTTGAGCTTTTCATAATCATTTGAAAGGTTTGCAGAGTATAGTTTATAGACTGAACTGAGAGGAAACCCATGATGAAATCAATTTTATTTAGGACTAGCTGGTGCCCGCGACTTCGTTTGCGTGGAATTTGAAAAGCGCTGCCTTAGTGAGTTCGATTCTCGTAAAATTTTGTAGGGTTGAGAGAAAAATAGCCTAAGTTACTCCTTATATAGACAGCTACTTGGTAGTAAAATATTATCAAAATCGGTCCAACTGTTTTGATGATTACCCGGAACAAACAGACAGACAAAAATATTTAAACTGGTTTTTAGGCATAGGTATCGTGCAAATAACCGTGTAAGCATGAAAAAACTATTATTTTGACATTACAAACAGACACTTCAATTTTAACAAAGCCAACCTTTTTTTTACAGGCATTTAAATATATAATCCTACAAGTAAACAAAGACTACGACAGCGAAGAACCGCCTAACTTGCCTGAAACCTTCAAGGGGTTTTCGGAGATAAGGCGTCCGTCCAGTTCGAAGACTCCTGATAGACTGACTTTTGATTTACTAAAAGACTTAGTAATACACCTGGTAGATACGGCTATGACTATGAGAATATTTGTTGAAGTGTACCCCAAAGCAGCAGATGTATTCAGGAAAACGAATTTTATTATTAGGTGAGTTCAATATGTATGAATGATCATCTTTTTTTTTCATGTCAACACCAGAGTCAGTAGTAGAAAAATGGTACCAAACCTTTTAGCTTGTTAACTAGTGGGAGCAGTACAGAAAATATATGGAGTTACAGTAAATTTATGACTAAAAAGATTTTGTTATCACACAATTGAAATTCGATAAATTTAGCTTTTTCCAAAATTGTTCCAGCCGTTCTCAAATGTTGTTATCACCAACGAACAGGATTTTAGTTTTGTTTATATAAAAGCGACATCGACTTATACACTATGAGTCGTGGGCGATTAATAGTATAGGAATTAAGATATCTCCGCAACCAACCACAAGATGTCGTTTTCTGACCAAAACGGCGTCTAATACGCTCACTACACACTAGATGGCGTTTTGGTCAATCAAGCAAGCATTGCTACACTTTTGTATCAAACGATAATTTCTTAGAACGTTTGGTCAGGGGGCGGGGCTTCATCGATGCGTCACTATTTTCTTAACGCGAATAGACTATAGTTCTGTTTCATTGCAATAATGTATGTTACAAGTGTTTAATGTTGTTCCAGTATAGTTCAACTTTATGAGTATGGCATCCCACTTCTATACGAGAAGCTGGAGGAGACGGGAGACGAGACGAGCGTACAGTTTACAGAAGTAGAAGGCTACATAGATACCGCAAGAGCAGAGCTAGTAGACGTTTTTAGAGAAGTGCTTGCCGTGTATAAGAATAAGATATTTAGCGGACAGTAAGTAACAGTTTTGTTTAATACTTACTCACTGTGTAATCTATATATATAATTGTTTTATCGTCGTGTTAGTTACACTATTTATAACTCAAGAACGGCTTTACCGATATGGCTGAAAATTGGTGAGGAGGTAGCTTAGAGCCAGGAGACGGACATAGGATACTATTTATTCCGAAAAAAAAAAAAAAAAAAGTATGCACGAACTTTGCTTTACTCGGAGATGCCACGTTATTATACTTGGAATGCTTCATCGAAAAATTTTCAAAGACGGAAGATTTTATCTAAGAAAAAAATTAACTTACTAAATTCGAAAATCGGCTTATTTATTGCCTTTAAGGCGGAACAGAGTTCGCCGGGTTAGCTAGTTTATCTATAATATGTATGTAATTAGAACTATTTGAGTATGTTTTTCTGCTTAGTTTGAAACCAGATGGCGTTGTGTTAGATGTCCTAAAATATTATATTCGACCAACTATACAGAACTATATTATATCAGGAACAAAGCCAAATCGTAATATCTTTATTTAATTTAAAAAAATGGATTTATCTTTTCATCAACAGAAAATCCTTAGAAAGGAGGTTTTGGCCTACTATACCATGCTGGCCAGGCGGGTTGGTATAGGGTTTGTGTCAACTTTTCCTTCTCTTTGCAGTGCTGTTGTCCTGCGTAGTTCGCTCCCTTAGTCGGCTCTTACGACACCCACGGGGTTAATAGGGGTGTTGAGACTCCGTATTCTTAATCCGTCACCACACGGATTAGATTTATCTTTTAGGTATATTTTAAACTGTAAAGTCAAAGATCAACACACACGATTGATGAAGCAACAATCTGTTTTTGTCAAATATTTAGCAAACAAACATCGTTCCATCAGTTTAGGAGTTATAACACCTCAGATACACCTGTTAAACTTATAACATTTGTACTTTTTATGATTGATTTCATAAAATAATCATCACAAAAACAACTTGTGAATAAAACTAATATTTAAAAATGACACAAACCTAATTTTTAATTATCTCGTATTCCAGGGGTACCATAGAGTCCAATGTTGAAGACTACTTGGCAGTTATGATGGATGGACTATCAGAGAAACTGCTCATCAAAGACTACCACACCTGCTACGCTGTCCACGAGGACATGGAGATGTTGCGACAGGCCTACCCTGATATGTATCCTTTTAAGATGTTACAACTAAATTGTTCGAAAATAGAACTACAGCTTAAATAGAATCTCACACTTCCTAATCAAAGGGAAAATCTATTATCTACTTTTTAAATTAAGTTGTTCTCGCTAAAGTGGCGCTGTCTGTTATTGAGTAGCGGCATTAATCGAACGTTCCAGAGATAGTTACATCATTGTAGAATATTAATTAGTGCTATACAAGTTTCCTCAGGATTAATAGGTATTACATATTTTTTTAATTACCAGCGCAAGCGCCAATCACTCAAGATTGTTCTCTAGGATTGTTATTTTTTGGGTGTAGTAGTGACAGTCTCTTCATAATTGACGACTGGCGTAGTGGTTTGTGTAACGGACTGCTATTCCAAAGGTCGCGGGTTCGATTCCCGCTCAAGTCAAACATTTGTGTGCATGAACATTTGATGTTTGATTTGGTCTGGGTGTCTATGTATAATATGTATGTATTTACAAAAAAAAAGTATATATGTATTTATACCAGTTGTCTAGTACCCATAGTACAAGCTCTGCTTAGTTTGGGACTAGATGGCGTTGTGTGTATATGGTAGAATATTATTATTATTATTATAATGTTCCTAAACCCAGTCCAGCGACACAGTTAAGACTGACTTCATTCTTCAAGCAATATATTCTAACTTAGACGAGCCCGCACCAGATATGCCCACACCGACGCCACAAATGACAAACGGCCATGGTAGCCATATTGAACCTGAGGCCACGCCCACCAGGGATACGGAAATACCCGACAACGTCCGAGAGGAGTCGTTGATAAGCGAAGTGAAGGATATTCTGCCACATTTGGGAGACGGGTTTATATTAAAATGTTTACAACATTATGGCTTTAATGCGGAAAGAGTTATTAATAGTATACTGGAAGGGAATTTAGCGGAGCCTTTGACAGGTGAGATTTTAATTTTATTTATAAAGTCATTGATGTTTAAGGGTCTTAATTGTAAACACATTCTGTAATGATGTATTTTTTTAATCTCAGAAGTTAAGCTAAAATGCTCGTTTAGAAAATATTATAGTTTTAAATCGGAAGTTTTATTTATTTATTAGTTGAGGTCTACCAAAAATTGTTAACATTTAAACTTATTCTTAATACAAAACTTAATGTTACAATTACTTAAAGGTAAACACCGCATTTAAAATATTATAAAAAATACAGACAGTAAGCCAATATAATGTAATTCGTAAATGTAGACATTCTTATAATTACAATTTCAGCCAGTTTAATCTATCAATAGATACACTATGTAAAATCAGGTAAGTTCAAAAGTGTTGATTTTACTTTTGCCACAGAGTCAAAGTGAAGATCAACTTTATTGCTATACCCATTAATTGATTTACACAATCTTGAGCATGGAGAAGTTTACAACTTCGTTCTCCACTCCGACATCTCGGCTATGACTGACTCGTCGTATTATTTGACGATCGGATGGCATAGTGGTTTGTGTAACGGACTGCTATTCCAAAGGTCGCTGGTTCGATTCCCGCTCAAGCCAAACATTTTTGTGCATGAACATTTATTGTTTTATTTGGTTTGGGTGTTTCTATGTATTATATGTATGTATTTACAAAAAAAAGTATATATGGGTACGAGGCAACTGATATAAATATATCAGTTGCCTCGTACCCATAGTACAAGCTCTGCTTAGTTTGGGACTAGATGGCGTTGTGTGAATGTAGTAAAATTTATTATTATATTATACTTTTACCAATTCTCCAGGTTTGGACCAGTCCCTCCCATTAATTCCCGAAGATCGATTAGATAAGAACTTCTTAGAGACCGGCATCCAGAGGCTGAACGTGTTCGATGGTGACGAGTTTGATATAATGACCCGGGATGACGTCGACGTCAGCAGGATCCACATTGGCAAGAGGAAGTCCAAATACAGGGACCTTAAAGCTATGCTGGATGACAAAAGTCACATCAAGCAGAGGGAAGATATTTATAGTAAATATAAGTGAGTATACTTATTCACATCACATCACATCAACAGCCTATACTAGTCCACTGCTGGACATAGGCTTCTCCTTAGAAAGGAGGTTTTGGCTTACTTATTATCTTTTATTAATTTTATTACCGCTGAGGAGGAACGGGTGTCATGTCCTTCCAACACAAACGGTTGATGTTGGAACGGATTGTGGAAATTATATATCGTGATATAGGATTAGCAGTTACTCTGTAGTTCGGTGTCTCTTCGTTAGATGGCGCTGTAGTATGTTTCTGTTTCACCGTATGCAGAAGTCTGAAGTCGTATTATAATATATTATTTTAGGAAGAAATGGACGAGCTCGACCGGAGCGATACCACGGCATCACAGAAAACAGTGCCTTCTTTTTCTTTTTACCCAGTGAGTGAGGTTACCCCCTTTTTTTAAAGTGAAAAATTGAACGTTGCAGTTTGGTGTGTGATGAAGTGGCGATGTACTCGGACGAGTACGACGACACGTACGACTCTGAGGACGTGGCGCCGCGCGCGGACGCGGCGGATGACCCTCGCCGCCCCTTCGTCACGCCGAGAGCCCTGCAGCCGCGGGACTCCAAGCACGACCAGGAGGTACCTATAGCTAACTCCAGTGATTTAGTATATCAAACTGGTAATTGAAACAGTTACCGGCCCGCTACGACCTTCAAGAAGACCCTTATGAAAGCTTGTGACCCCTGAGTAGCAAGCGTTCATGGGCGGCGGTTGTCACTTTCCATCAAATGACCCGTCTACTCGTTCCAGATAGTGATGTGTTCGATCTTTAACAATGTATATCCAATCCATCAATTAATAACGCGACATGTTTTGTCTTGCACCGCTTGTTTTTCTTATGTGAAACATCTATTTCGGAGATTCAGTTAGATTTCACCATGAATTACCATATCCCAAATCTAACTGTTTTCAAAATATTAGACTTTCAAGATTTTTATAGATATCGTAAAAATGTTGGCTTATAATTATATTTTTTAGAACTTAAATCCTCTTTTCTTTACTGTTTTTGTTTTGTTGATATACAATTAGAAGTAGATGGTTGATAACAGCAAAATAAATTAATAAAAAAAAAAACTTTAATGAATTGATTAGGTCTGGGATTTCATAGTGAAATCTATCAGAAATGATGGCAACTACAACCCCATAAGATATCTAGATCGACTTAACCATTACCTCTGTTTATATATAACCAGGATGTAAATTATTTAACTCTGCTTCAGGAGGAGTCAGAAGAAGAGTCGGACAGTAACATGGAAGTGGCAGGCAACAGTAACAGGAATAAGATGGACTTCTGCTCGAATCCTGAGGAGGTGCGCGCGCGCAGAGAGGCCAACTACCTCGCGCGGGGGGGGAAGGGACATCGACCTGCGCCTCAGGCTCAACCTAGGTACGTCCTGTATTTTATACATGTAAAAAAAAACTCCGACTTAAGAACGCACGAAACATTATTAAATACAACATCTAATGCGGAGGGTCAGACCGGCTGTAGGCGTGGCGACGTGTCACCACGACATACGTCGCCACGCTACCTGCTTATATATGTGACATTTTTTTTTTAATAAAAGTCAACTCGCGCATTAGGTATTTATATCCTGTGTCGCAGGGGACCTTACAAACATACATGAAACGGACACAAAGAACATCCAGACTCAGAACAACAATTTGTGGATCACACAAAGTGGTGTCCCTTGTGGGGATTGAACCCACAACACTCAGGGCAGTAGAAAGTGGCGTGGCGACCGCTTAAACCACTACGCCATCTGTGCAGTCATAAGACATGTAATGCTGTGTGGCTACATTTATTGTTTCGTTTTATACTCATATCTACAAAATATTTTGGAGATTTCACGTCTTCCACGCGTCCTACGACGTTATTTATTTATTAATCTACTTAGCGAAATTAATCATTTTTTCGTGAAATCATGAAAAAAAAAGATAAGTAGATAGGTCTAGGCAGGGCAAAATGGCGTTCTGATATAATATCCCAGAAATATCTGTTATTAACGTTTTATTCACAAAAATGTACAATGGTGGATGCCATAAGCTTTCTTTGACAGTCTATCTATATTTTTTTGTTGATGGGGTGGAAAATCCCTTCCGCTGCTCCTCGGAGACTCAGGAGCCAGGTGATTCTACTAAAAACCACCCCGAAGACCGGCTTCAGGAGTCCTACTCTAGGAGGACCCAAACCATGTTATTTCAGGTCTTCCACGAAATATAATCATCCGCATAGCAGACGACACTCAATCCTGGAGGAAGGCTGGTACTCAGGACGGCATCATACGCAAGGTTCCACAGAAGAGGTCCTAAGACTGACCCCTGGGGAACCCCGCATGTGACCTCATTAATTTATAAAAACTCATTTATATAATTATGTACTTTAGATTTTTAGTTATAAGCTTGCAATATTGCCTTATAGTTAAACCGCCGTAAGCTTGGCCCTCCTGATGGTTTGCGGGACGCGGGGCGGGTGATGCGCTCGGCTATACATGACACGATGTACTAACTCGATATCTTCAGATTTACTTGTTTGAAATTTAATCTACACACGATGTAATCAAAATCGAATTTATTTCAAAGTCAAAGTCAGTGAATTGTAAGTTTTTATGATTAATTGTAAAATTTAATACTGTAAAATAATTTTAATAAAATCACCTTATCTTCATCATGTAAATTATATTCAGATACAATTTAAAAATTAAGTAAAATAATAAATATTCTTTATTAGAACTTTAACCTAGTTACTTTAAGTAGAACCTCTGTAAGCCGAACTTAAAGTTTTTAAATCTTTTTGTGACGCAGAGTCGGCAGATTATCCATGTTGCAAAATAATACCGTGTGTAGCAGTCTTAAGAAAAATAACACGTACAACCATACTTTCACTTCAGTCACTGCCAGCCAGCGGACAGCGACGCACTAGCTAATTGGTTGAATGCACCCCCGCCCCGCGTCCCCTAAACCATCAGGAGGGCCAAGCTTACGGCGGTTTAACTATAGGAGTATTCCTGTAACCCTATTATAAATTTATCTAAACTTTTTAAATGAAACTTGTTCTGCTTCTAGAACTGTGGACGTAGTCGGCAAACCCAAAGGTCAAGGTCAAGAGAAGGATGTTCTCCACAACAGGGATAAGAAGGAGAAGCATAAATCCGTCAGAGGAAACCACAACAGAAGACAAGGCGCGCAGTGGAAACGAAGTCAGGGAATGATGCCATCTTAGGGTGGTATTGTTTTTATATGTGTACAAATTGGATAGTGAGGCCTGTTTTATATGTAGGACATGTTTTATACCCCTAATATGGTAAACTAGCATACAGCCCACCTACTAGTAAACTTTCACTAGGGCTGATAAATAAAAATAATATATTAAATTTCTGAACAGATCATATACGGCACAAAAGTAGGATTTTTGATCTCATAATTATTTCTTTAATAAACAAATTAATTAAAATACTTTAAAATTAACAAAAACACTTCTAGATCTGATTATATGTTTACGGAACCAACTTGGTTGCATAAAGAAAATTCCTTTAGAAAAATCCACCCAAAAAGCCACCTACAGGGTCCAAATGTAATCTATAAGGACTCACAAAAACAAACACAAAATATCAAAAGTGATCCAGCAGTTTAGTAGTTCAGTGACATCTGTATAGAAGAATTAAAAATATAAAGATAAGTAGACAAGATAATGTGTTCTGATTTTTTAAATGTTTGTAACGCTAATTTAAGATGAGAGAGGTGTTACACGAGATGATCATTTAATCACTGGATTTTAGTTTTTCTATTTACTAATCAAATTGAATAACTTTTTTTACATTTCTAAGCCACATTTAATGTAGGTACAGTTAGCAAAAAAATGTATCAACATAATTTTTAATCTGTATGCACATGTGTTACCAAAATTTATAGTACTATGTATTCTTAGTACCAAATAATTGTCCTACAAATTAAAATTAAAAAATTAAAAAAAAAACTTAATTTTCTTTCAAGTTCTAGTTAATTTTTAGTCCGCTTCCAATAAGTGTATTAGTGAAATCGGACCAAAAAAATGGAACGAGGGAGAATCCTCGTTATTTTCTGGTTGTATATTCGATGTCTCCAGCAGACATCGATTTTGGAACTACATGCCTCCAGCAGGCGAATATTTGGGCAAGAAAGATAAGATACTGTGTTTTGTTATTTTTATTTGTAACAGTCGCAAGTTTCTGTGGTGAACCGATAACCGACTTCAAATGTAATGCAGCCAGGCTTATTACATTTGAAGTCGGTAGCCCTTGGTTTTGCATGATCGTTATTAAATAACTGACAGTTTTTTTTCGGTCGAACCGAAGTATGGCTCTCCCACGAGGAACTATTGTGTAAATTTCCTAAAATTATTTATGATATACAGTTTAATTAATTGTTTCTAACGTTTTATTTTCCGGAAGAAAAGTCCAATGATTTTCGACTCAGAATGATGGTCAGAACACACTATTTCAGGATTCCTCACACCGTCCCTTACACCCTGTATAAAACTGAATCTCATCACACAAAATAAGTATATAAATATTTCCTTGTTTCCTACCAACTTTTTTTATAGCATAGGAGGGGAACCGAACAGACGGGTCACCTGCTGGTAAGCATATGACTACATTGACATCAACTCCAGAGACACATGTGATTTGCTATCTGTTGATTGATGTCCTCAGATTTAGACTGAATCGAGTAAATAATCTCACTGGAGTAACCTTATTTACTTGATTCAAACTGAAACTCAAAATATCGATATTTATTTTATTTAAAAAAATCGTCTCTTATGTCGACTCCATAGTCATAGACCAACACGCACAATAGCAAAAATCTCTGTTTTGACAAATAATTAACAAAATAAAATATATAAGAGTCGAAAATCTATCTCTCTATATGCCTGTGCCGATCTACGTACAACCCCTTTTCAAGGGGTAAAGGGCAAAAAAACTCACGAAGAATTGCTCAAAACCAATCTTCTGTGGGGCCATGATATCACTAGTCAATTCTTTCCAATTTTTTTTATGGTATAACTACCGCCGCCGCCCATGGAAACCTGCAACTCAAAAGTCACAGGTGCGTTGCTGCCCTTGGAGTCCTTCCCGCTCGAGTCAGCGGGAGAAGATTTGGGCTCCGGTAACCTCAATCACTCAGTGAAAGGCAACAAAAGAATTGCTTAACACCGGTTTTCTGTAAGGTATCACTCTGGTTGAGGCGGCCCATTCGTGAAGAAGCATGGCTCTCCCACGGTAAAACTTTATTGGCCGCAGCATGGTTCTCCTACGCACAAAGTCTATTCACATATTGTTAAAAAAAAAAAAAAAAAAAGGGGTTCAGATTAGGACGTAAGATACCTATCATCCAGAAAAAAGGACTCGTGCTGAGATTTCTAGACAAATATACAATCATACCAGCGAAACTGCAGTTAGATACTGATCATCATCATCATCAACAGCATATACTAGTCCACTGCTGGACATAGGCCTCTCCTTAGAAAGGAGGTTTTGGCCTACTATACCACGCTGGCCAGACGGGTTGGTATAGGGTTTGTTTCAAGTTTTCCTTCTCTTTGCAGTGCTGTTGTCCTGCTTAGTTTGCTCCCTTAGTCGGCTCTTACGACACCCACGGGATGAATTGGGGTGGTGACAATTTGTATTCCGTATTATAATCCGTCACCACACGGTTAGATACTGATAACAGTTAATTTTTAATTAAAAACTTGCAATTGCATTATTACAATTGTAATAATAATAATCTCACACACGGCCGTCCGATCCCAAACTAGGCAGAGCCTGTATACTATGGCAACCAGACTGCTGAAAAACATACTTATATATTTCTAAATACATACATATTATAGATAAATTACACCCAGACACAAAACAAATGATCATGCTTATCACACAATTATTTGTTCTAGAAATATTTAAGAATGTTTATCCTAACTGCTAAACCAAAGGTAAATGGACACTTGCAACTTAAGAGTCACAAGAGATTTAGGGGGAGGGACACCCGAATTCATCGTCATCATCATCAACAGCCTTTAATAGTTCACTGCTGTACATAGGCCTCTCCTTAGAAAGGAGAGTTTGGCTTACTATACCACGCTCAGGGCTTATTGGTTTGTGTAAGGGACTGCTATTCCAAAGGTCGCGGGTTCGATTCTCGCTCAAGTCAAACATTTGTGTGCATGAACATTTAATGTTTGATTTGGTCTGGCTGTTTCTATGTATAATATGTATGTATTTACAAAAAAAAGTATATATGTATTTATATCAGTTGCCTAGTGCTTATAGTACAAGCTCTGCTTAGTTTGGGACTAGATGGCGTTGTGTGAATGTAGTAAAAAAAAAAAAAGTGTAGGGTTTGTTTCAGTGCTGTTGGTCTGCGTAGATTGCTCCTTTAGTCGACTCTTGCGATCCCCATGGGACGAATAGGGGTGGTGACACTCCGTATCGTTAATCCGTCACCACACGGACGGAAGACACCTGAAGCACCCACTCTGAATTAGGTTGGAATCCGGTTGGTGATAAGTAACAAAAAAAATTGCTTGCAACTGAAATTGGTTTTCTGTGAGGCTGTGGAATCACTCCGGTCGAGCCGGCCCATTGTAGCGAAGCATGTCTCTCCCACGGTGACCCACCATTTCAAGAAATACGAAAATTTCATGCAATTTGTAACCATATAATGAATTTATCAGTTCTACCATTATGTGTAATAAATACTTAGAGGAGCAACGCTGGGGTGCGGTATGAAGGAGAGCGGCGTCCCCCCGCTGCCCGCGATGTCTGCGGGAGTTTATGTCGTGGTGGTTATGTCGGACTCGAACTGACCAAATACCGCACGCCGTCTCGGGTACCAGGTGCCGGGGAACCAGGTGTACCCTAGGTAGGAAATCCCTAATACCCCTACGTACCTCGTGTAAATCACCCTCTCCTGTGTGGGAACCCCTATGTCCCCTTTGTGCCCTCGAAAGGGCGGGCGCGCTCCTCAGCGCGTCTCGCCACCACCCTGGCCTGCTTCTGTTAGGGTGACAGATAGCCTCACCTGCCACCCCCTGCGCTTATGGAGGGCGGAGATCATTCTGCTACCTCCGGCGCCTGAGTCGTGTGCGGTACGTGGCCCGTTGCCGGGCCTTGCGCACCGCACAGAGTTCTAAACCTCTCCCGGTCCTGCTCCGCCATCTCCTTTGCAAGCATAACTTGCTTGCAGAAAGAGACAGCGGAGTTCCACGAACTCTCGCTCCGTACCATGGCGGCAATCATGTTACCGAGCGAGAGAATTCCCACTCCGATGGCCGCCACGAGGCAACGCCTCTGCTCCACCCACGCCGGGCCTTCTGCCAGCGTGTGGAACGTTCCAGCGATCGCAGTGGTGGCATTCAGGCGTTGGCTCCTTGCGGATCAGACACAGGTGATCTCCGAAGCATCCTTTCCCGGTGATCACCTGCGTCAACCGGTACGAGAGGGTTGAGGGTGGGTCTTACCGCCGCGATAACGGCGTGCCCATTTTGTGACAACCCTTGCACAATTTTAATCGAGACAATATTGTAGTTATTTAGCGGTGTGTGTCAAAAAATGAATTGGCTACGACATATTCATAAACAAAGCTGCTAAAGTACGTCATCTTCTTTTATAGTTTGTACTGGAAATGTAACTGTTATTCCTATTGTAAACTAAAGAATCTCCATATTCTTGTTATTTTATGTAAGCCCAGTAGCATCTAAATATTCAAATCGTTTAACTTTATGTGACGTTTTTTATTACTTACTAAAAACTAAGTTATTAAAGCAACAAGTGGGATGTCGAGCGGACGCGACTATAACCCCACATTATGAATTCACGAAATGTCACCTCCGTACGTATTTTTTTGTGTGTGCTGTGTTTATCTATTCTTGACTCATACAGGTGTGTAGGTACCTTTACCTAAAGTTTATAGTTGGTATGAAACTAACATCAATATGTCGCCGCCAACGATGATATGGATTAGAGATCCGCAGACATGACTTACTCTTCACTTGCATTGAGTTTCGCGCTGTTTTTAATGGACTAAGGAAACGAGCAGACAGGTCACCTCCCCGCCCCCTATAATTTATTTATTTAAAACTTAATGCAAGTGTTGTACAAAGGCGGACTAAATGCCATAGGCATTCTCTCCCAGTCGACCTTCAGGTGATGAATTTGACATGGCTCATAAAATTTTGTAAAATCTGCG